TTTATTAAAAGATATCCTCATGGAAATTCATCAACTTATTCATGGTGCATCTCCTTAATATACAATTTTTTGCATGCAGTTTTGCCTAACATGCACAGCTTTGAAAAGCATTTTCCATAATGTAAAGAATCTTTGTATTTTATTTTCACGAACATATACAGTGGTACCTCGGGTTACATATGCTTCAGGTTACAGACTCCGCTAGCCCAGAAATAGTGCTTCAGGTTAAAAACTTTGTTTCAGGATGAGAACAGAAATCGTGCTCTGGCGGCGCAGCTGCAGCGGGAGGCCCCATTAGCTAAAGTGGTGCTTCAGCTTAAGAACAGTTTCAGGTTAAGTACGGACCTCCGGAACGAATTAAGTACTTAACCCGAGGTACCACTGTACTGTGTACAGCGCTTTTTTTCATCTGCAACTCACAGGAACTCAGTTCTGGCACCTCTCAGGTAAGTAACATTGCTATTCTAAGAGAACAAGAGAGGTGTTCATGGTGAGTTCCAGCACCTCTTTCTATAGAAAAATAGCATTGACTCTGTGTGTGTGTGTGTGTGTGTGTGCGCGTGCGCGCGCATGCATGTGTGTGTGCCATTTTGTGCATGCTTTGCTCTAGTGTGTGAATTTTTGCATGCGCTACTTGGCTGGAGAACTGTGCCGTGAAATTTGGAGCAGCGTGTATTTTGAAAGGTGATCGTGTCTCAGTTCACACACATTGTATCAGAAAGTTTTGGTTCGTGAACTGAATCCAATTTTTCCTGCATCCTTAGTGAGAAGGAATGGGCATCATAGGGCAACCGCAGCCACCCAATTTCCTGCAACCACTAAAATGGCCTTGTCCGTGCCCAGTGCCTCTGAAGCCTGTTAGGGGCTGGGAATGTCCCCAGCCTGAAGACCTGCTGCCCATCAATGTTGACAACACTGGCGTAGATAGTTCTGATGCACATTGGATATCACCTAATGTGTCTTCTGGGCTTAAAATCCTACACTGAGTGTTTTTGATCAGGATACTCTGATCATCTAGTGTGGAGCGATGATTAAAAGCATGAGCTTCAGAGCTCACTTCAGACATGAACTCACTCTTTTTATTATTATTATTAAAACATTTTCCTATCTCACCTATGTATTGGAAAGACTCCAAGGCAGGTAAAAATAGAATCCGTTCAACAATACAGCATTAAGTGGCCATTATCTCTCAACTCTCTTACGAGATTAATATATGCGGAGCACGTAGGGGAAAGCACTGCATAAAACAGTAATTATTATTATCGATCTCAAGTGACTACAAATATTTGTACTCATAACCAGCCGTGCTATCCTTGCAGCAGAATAATAACTATCTTTTAGACACTGGAGGGTGCAGAATTCAGGGCAGCTGGAAAGATTGCAATAGATCTGCTAACAAGAGACGCTGGTCCAATAAAGTGCTTTCTTGTTCTTTGGAGCAAACTTGCCAACATGCAGTGCTAAGTATTCTTCATGCACTTTTCTTCTCCTGCCACAAGAGGTCATCTTCTAAATATCCCACTATAACAAACATCCACCATCAATCTCTGCAGAAATTAGAACACACAAAGGAAGCAGCTCCACAGTATTCTTTTCCAGATATAAAACTATTTTTTGGGGGTGATTTTATGTTGTTTTAAATTTCGTGTAGTGTTGCGTTTTCATATTAGCATTCCATTTTAATTGTTGCACCGTAGGGCGAAGGGTGGGTCATATAAATTATAACAACAGCAACATCTCTCATGGGTTTGAAAAGTGGGCAAGGAATAATAACAATCTTCACTAACTGCTGCATCTGCGGTGGTGGAGGTATCTCATCCATCTGAAGCAAAATACAACCAGTGTGTGGGACCTTAAAGATAGGAGCTGCCTTATTTGAGCATGTGCATCTGTAGGAGAAAGTCAGTGAGATGCGTGGAGTGGGCCGAACAGTTATGTCTGTTATACGGTGTGTGCGCGCGCACACATTATTGTAATATAGGGTTGCCATACATCCGGGAAAACCCGGACATGTCCTCTTTTGGGGGGCCAACATTCCCGTCCAGGCAGATTTTTACAGGCAGGTTGTATAGTTACTTGGAGGATCTATTCCATACCCTCCGACATTTCTCCGATTAAAATAGGGACGGCGTAAGGAAAAGCGGGACATTCCAGGGTCAAATTGGAAACCAGGACGGCTTCTGTAAATCTGGGACTGTCCCTGGAAAATAGGGATACTTGAAGGGCCTGCCATTATCCCCTCACAGAGCTATGATTCCCAATGTACCCTGGGAAGAGGGAGGGATTGTTAAGCCACTTTGGGGTGAATCTCTGAGGGATCTCCTAACAGCTCTCATCACCCGTAACAAACTACAGTTCCCAGGTTTCTCTGGGCAAAGAAGTGACTGTTCAAATGGCGTCACAGTAGCTTTTGAACGTAGCTTAGTCCACCCTTCCATCTGCCGCTCGCAACACCGATTGCCCACAGCTGTCTTCCAAGTAAGATTAGCACTTTCTCCTTAATGTGGGCTCCTGAGGGTGGCCTCTCCTCGCTGACTATAATTAAGCTCATGTTTACAGGCAATGCAAGATTTGATTATTTCAAGGAGCGTTTCTGGCTGAGGATTTATTTCGCTCTTAGGTTTCACAGGTAGCGTTAGTCGGAATTTCCGCATTCTCGGTTCATGTGGTGATTTTTAGCTTGAAGCTTAATGGGACTGGAGTTGGGGGCTGGGAGATGTGATTAAAATGGGCCTGCCTTGCATCGAGGGAGTCCGGCTTTTGAATTAATCTAATACCCTTCATTAATTATTGACCAAAATAGTTATTCCTACTTCCACACTAGTTCATTACATACGAGGGAAATCGCAGGGGAGATAGCACAGCAACAATAATAAGCCGTAAACTAAAACTCTTTCCCATTACTGCTTCATTTCTCTCCTTTCATTCCCAGATAAGGATATGGGTAAGAACACACGAAGGCATAAGAAATAAAGGAGTAATTAACAATTAAAGACCCTGTGCAGAGAAAGAAAAACCTGACTAAAAACCTTCCCTCAGAGTGGAACCGGCGTGCATTTTGACGTGGAGAGCTCCGTTATTACGGACAGTAAAATTCAATTTATATTCCAGTATTGGCAAGGCTTAAGGGTTGGGAACAACAAATGAGAACGAAGGTTTCTGCCAGGAGTGAATTATTTTTTACCTTTTTTTTTTTTTGGAAAGAGGGGTTTATTACTGCCATCTTGACAGATCATTAACTATATTTGTATGAACGGAAGGAAGGAAATAAATTGTCTGTCGCCCCTTCATCCTCACAGCAAAGCCAGAGTAAAACAAATTAGCTATTTACTTCTCACACGCACTATATTTGCTATAATTAAATGCCATCTGTTATTCCTAATGCATGATCTCAAAGTAGCAATGGAAATATGGCATATAATAGTTATCCCTTCAGTCTTAGTGGGCCACATGCAAGCAGGCAATGATTAGGGCTGTGCACCCACCATTGGTTGCGTAAATTAAAAGGAAATTTGGAATTCATAGGTACGTCTAGCGACAGTGGACGGACACTTTTGCTGAAAGCAATTAGTCTGCCATTTGATAATGATGTGATTAAAACCTGTAAATGACTTCAGCTTCAGCCTCTTGCAGTTCAATTAGGGTATGCACATGATGGATTGATGTGGAAGATATTTATAGTGCACAGTGGAGGACAGAGAGGGAGATGGCCAATTGGCCTGAAAACTCATTGATGGAAGTTCAGATTTAGGCCTGAGAACTGAAAACAAAAGAAAACACACACTTATTTATCCCATTATTATTATTATTATTATTTCCTGAATAGTCTTATTCTGCAAGGTCAGTGAATTTTCTAATACTTCAATCATGCAGTTTCAAAACACGGACTTGCCAAATGTAATTCAGTGCCTGCTCATTCGTTTAGTAAGCGTGTACTAAAATGTTTGCCTTGTTCGTTGGATAGAAATGTGTATATAATCACATATTGTATGTTGTGCCTTACAGAGCAACTTGGGACCCAGCTATACAGCTGCAAATACAACGTTTTAAAGTGTTTTAAGTGCATTATACAAATGTGACACTAGGTGGCGATGATGAGCTAATGACAAATTCCATATCCTATGGGGTTTGGGTTTTTTTGTAAAAACAAAAAAAAAAGGATTTTCACAGTGTTTTTTAATATCTGTGTAGATTCAGCCTTGGTGTTACCCTGAATCACAACCAGACTTAGAGAGTTCTTTCTAATACTGGCTTCCTTTCTGAAGATGGCTCCTGGGTGACCTTGGCTACTGTACTTGAGACGGCTCTGTTTTGTGGGTGGGTGGTTTTGATTCTATGAGAAGCAATGTGTTTCGTCTGAAGCCAGAGTATGCTGGTCACTCACTCTAGGCTAAAAGAAATTAAAAAACGCTGCATCTAATCAGAGGTGCTTTTTGCAAGCTTCTTAATAGTGTACTTTTTCTTACTTGGCATATCTCCTCCTCCTGTTAGTTCTGGGGAGAAGCAACGAGCTGGGCAGCGAATCCTCCCACCGGGCTTCTGAGATTTCACTAAACGTCGCCCCCATTTTCATGCTTACCTTCACAATCATATGGCCTAGAAACTTGGGCTGAACATACACCATGCATTTAGAGCACATTCAATGCATGCCCCCCCTTAATCTGCCTAATCCTTCTCTAGAGTAATCTAAGCATGGCTTTCATCACATACTTTGACAGCATAGGCGTAGCCAGACTTTATTGGAGGGGTAAGCTTTATGTGGGGAAGGGGCAGAACCGGGTTATCTGTGACACAATTGGTCAGTTAGTTAGTTTTATTTATTTACCTGATTTAGGGGCCACAAATGCTCACCCTGCCACCCCCCCCCCCCAGCTACACACATTTCAATAGTGATTTGTTGAGGGGAAGGGAGTTTTTAGCCTCATAGACTCATAGAATTGTAGAGTTGGAAAGGACCCCGTGGGTCATCTAGTCCAACCCCCTGCAATGCAGGAATCTTTTGCCCAACGTGGGGCTTGAACCCACAACACTGAGATTGAGACTCTCATGCTCTACTGACTATCTTGAACGCTCCAAAGATTTACGGAGCAGGAGCTACAAGGGAGAGTGGAAATTGTTGGAAACTGCTTCCCTTCCCTTTCTGCTGATGAAAGCCTTGTGTCAGCCAAGCAACCCAGGACTCCGCTACATTGGGAAAGAAAAGGTGCTTTATATGCGTCGTTTATGCATTCTAACACTGTGGCGCCAGATGGCGCTGTGGAGTTCCGTTTTTGCCAACCTGATTTCTCACACAAAGTTTACGGCGCGTTTAACTGAAACGCTCTAGATACAGCAACAACTGGATAGAACTCAGCTGACAACTCCTGGGTTTAAAGGGTTTGGGTTTTTTGTTTGGCTACCTTTTTGAATGAGAAGATCCGGTTTTGCTCCACATCACAACTTTCCCCCCTGAAGCAATCCCTCTCCCAGTTCCTTCATGGCTAGGATTGGCTCCGCTTGCTTCACAGAGATAGCTGTCTATTCACAGCCTTTGCCCCATCTGTTAAAGTAGCAAGTAATTAAGGGTAGGACATTATCTATGGGTTAGGGAAGCAGGCACTGGAAGGTTTAGCGCTTAAGCTAATTCCATAAATCCATGGCAAAACCAGGGATGGAATTACAAAACCTGACCACTCTTGAGTATCTTGCTGACATATCCGAGCGAACACCCACCTCGATCCATTTGCAAGCCTATTTTTCTGTGGAAGGGGAAAAATGGAAACATAAGCCTTTCCTAGAGGACATATGGATAGTTAGTTGAAATTTAATGAACTGGGGCTGCTGTATTAGTCAGTATGAGCAGCGCACTGGTCAATAGGCAATCTGATTAAGGAGATTAGGGATCAGAAAGAAAGTGCACTTATTTTCCACACATTTATTTTCTCAGCCAGGCTTTTCACCATGAGTAATAGGGTGCGCTCCCTTCGGAACTGTAGACACCACTAAAGTGCTTTGGCTAAGAAAATTTTGCCCATCTGTTATGCGGACAGGCAAAATAATTTAGCCATGATATGTGCTTGTACAGAAACACAACAAAGGATTAATCTCCTGTGCGTTTGCTGACTGCTCAAGCCGCAGGCCCCAGGTCGTAAACACATCTCAGTCTCATCCTTCTTTTGGCAGGATTTACAGAGTTTTCTGTGCACTTAAGCCAGCGAGCTCTGCCCTGGCTGGTTCTTATTTTTAATGAACTATAACCATTAATTCTGAAGAGAGCATCCTTTCCCATATGTATGTATGTATGTATGTATGTATGTATATATATATAAATAATATATCTGGAGTTCCGTCAGAGTCCTAACCACCTGACATCTTCACACGTACAACTGTGGTGGTTCAAAGAGCGAGTAGATCATGCTTTCACCACTAGAACTGAATGAAACTGATAGCTAGCAGGGAAAATATATGCAGACAATCACTTGCCAATTCCAGCTCCTTTCAATAAGTGAAGAGTGGGGTATCTCCAGGCTCCTTGGGACCACTATGGCCCTCCATGTCTGCCTACCTGGCCCTCAAGACTCTCCATAAATCAGTGTTTCCCAAACTTGGGTCTCCAGCTGTTTGGGGATTACAGTTCCCATGAGTGCTTTTTTTTCCTGGGGGGACACAGGGGGACACATACCCCTAAACATTTTGTGAATCTACGTTTAGCCTCATTGAGGGGCAGTATTTCAATATGAGTAGGAAAATGAGAGTACCCCTAAACATTTCTTCAAGGGGAAAAAAACACTGGTTCCTATCATCCCTGCTAGCTAGGAATGATAGGAGTTGTAGTCCAAAAACAGCTGGAGACCCAAGTTTGGGAAATCCTGCCCTAAGCCATGATCCCTCTCCAGGTCATATCCCCTCACTAGTCCTACTTTTACAAGCTACTGGAATGTTTTTGCCTGGCTAGAATGTGTCGTTGAACTCTGGTCATGCCTCTTTCTTGCTTGAATGGAGTATGAAGAAATATGTCACAGTGGGGTGTGCACATGTAGAAACATCTGACTTTGGTGTGGCTGGGATTTAGCTTAATGTGCATCTCTTACTTTTGCCTCTGGCTCTGCTCATCCTTACCCCTGGTCTTGCCCACCACTGGCTCCCCATGAGGAGCCATCTGGCAGACCCACATAAGATTCTGCAGGAGAAAATGCCATTCTCTTGCTGAAAAAGTTTCCGCACTCCAGCTATAAAAACTTGTGCAAAATAGGTATTTAGGTTTCCATTGGCATACCTCTCCCTGTTAGACCTCAAGGTCAACGTTGTAATGGTGAACGAAGAATTTGACCGGAAGCAGGTCTTGCCATTCATCTACCCTTGTGTCAAATGCATAACCTCCAACATTTCTCCTCTGAAATCGGTGTTTCCATGCGCTGCTCTGGTTCCCCAGAAGCGGCTTAGTCATGCTGGCCCCATGACCCGGAAGCTGTACGCCGGCTCCCTCGGCCAATAAAGCGAGATGAGCGCCGCAACCCCAGAGTCAGCCACGACTGGACCTAATGGTCAGGGGTCCCTTTACCTTTACCTATTCCATAATAACAGTTTTATGATTTATACCCCGCCCATCTGACTGGGTTGCCCCAGCCACTCTGGGTGGCTTCCAACATATATAAAAACATAATAAAACATTAAGCATTAAAAAAAAAAACACCTTCCCTATAGAGGGCTGCCTTCAGATGGCTCTGGGGTCGGATAACTCCACAGACCTCCAATGTAAATAGAGAGGTCCTAAAGGAAAGTGGGACATTCTGGGATCAAATCAGAAACCAGAACAGCTTCTGTCAATCTGGGACTGTCCCTGGAAAATAGGGACACTTGGTGTGTGTGCAAATGTATACAACCTAATTATGAAATTGCCGCATAGCCCCACAATAGACCTGTTTGTCTTTGGCTTGAAATTGGCCATGTGATAGCATCAATCTGGCCTTTCCAGCCAGTGAAATTAAGCTGATTTTGTCCTGGTTTCAATGACTTTGTAGGTGGAACTGAAAGAATCCACCAGAAGTTTTCAGATTGCTATCTACAGGAGCAGCTGTACGTAATATCAATGGATGGATGATATGGTGACATTAACACCACATGGGGAGGGCCGCTGCTCAGTGATAGAGCAACTGCTTTGCATGCAGAAGGTCACAGGTGTGATTTCCATCACCTTCAGGAAGGGCTAGAAGAGACCCCAGCCTGAAACCCCAGAGAGCTCTTGCCAGCCAATACAGCATAGATAATACTGACCTAGATCAGACAGCTTCCTATGTTCTGACAAATATCACCAGCTCTTAGCAATGCAGACAAATGGGTTCAAAGAGTATTGCTCATCTAGTTTGTCTCCATGTGTGTTAAGCACTTGAAATAAAAGGGAACTATGAAATAGAACTTGCTTGGAATTCCGAATACCAATCTAGACCCTTTTCTAAATGAACTGTAAAAAAACCCCTACTACTGCAAATTCCAAGAAGATGGAAATATAAAACCCAAGTATTACAATATTATTGGCATGTTAGGCTTCAGAAGAATGTCTGCTGCTTCAGAAGACTCATGCAAAGTGTTCAGCGAAACACAAAATAAAATGAGCCACGTAATCAAATATTCCCTTCAGTAAGAGACATATGGTTTAAAAATATGCCTCTGATAGAGGAATCCAAAGACTCCTTTGCAGTACTGCTCAAAGTCTTAGTATGTGATCAAAATTCACTAGTGTATGGATTTTGAACGTGCAATTCTATACTATACGTAGTGCCAAACAAGTGACATGCAAATTGATAACATATCACAATGAATGCAAATCTGGTGCCTGAGAATAATAGGAAGTATGTAAGAGGATACTTAAAAACAAAGCAAACAACTGAGGCAGATACAGAAAATGGTCTGTAGCTGATGCAATATAGTTCAAACACCATTAAAATCAAGAGGGATTTTTTGCTATAGGCTTCTATGAACTGCAGACTGGATCCTTTATGTAAATCTCATTTACCCCCAAATTGTAGTTGTTATAACGTGAAAAAAATAGGACATTTTTTCAAGTGTTTAAGGTTGCAAAATACCTTGTTTTTACTTTTTCATGTCTTGCACAAATGGAAACGACAGTATGAAATATATTTCACAACAGCAGGCAAGATTATCAGTCTCCAGTTTTACCATTGTCCTCCCACCCTTAGCATGCATTTGATAATCATCTGGATTTGTACTCCTTCCTTGGTGCACTGACAGTTTCTGACCTGCTCATGACAGTTGTGAGCAGATGTGAAAACAGTTGTGAGCAGATGTGTGACAGGGTGAGCTCCCGTTGATCTGTCCCAGCTCCTGCCAACCTAGCAGTTCGAAAGCACACCAGTGCAAGCAGATAAACAGGTACCACTGTGGCGGGAAGGTAAACAGCGTTTTTGTGCGCTCTGTGTTCCATTGCGCCAGAAGTGGTTTAGTCATGCTAACCACATGACCCAGAAAGCTGTCTGTGGACAAACGTCGGCTCCCTTGGCCTGAAGCGAGATGAGTGCCACACCCCACAGTCGCCTTTGACTGGACTTAACTGTCCAGGGGTCCTTTACCTTTACCTTCTTTTTTTTTACCTTGTAAAAGCCATCCGTAACATTTGCAAAAGCGATATACATTAGCTCTCCATGATGCGTTCATCTTTAAAGAAGATAAAAGGGTATTTCATTTCCTGTTGTAAATTTTGCATTTTATTGCACAACAGTGTTTTAAAGGCAAGCATTCATAAAAGGAAATGAAGGGCTTGTCTGCGACAGAAACTCTGCAGATTATGCAACGGAGAACAAGGTGTGCAGACAAAGACATCATCAGACAGGCCCTCAAGCATGGACTACCCTTATGGAGTTATGCAACCCCTGAGCCAAGGAGATAAATAACTATACAACCTTTAGAAGCCATTATTATTATTATTATTATTATTATTATTATTATTATTATTGAATAGGATGTTCCTATTTTCATCGGAGAAATGTTGGAGGGTATGTTCCTTACAAGCAAGTTAGTGGTGGGAGTTTAGAAAGAATCCCTGGATGGTGGAGAAATCTCAATGTGGTTTTCATG